TGCCTCAGCCTCCCAAGTAGCTGGGACTACAGGCATGCGCCACTATGCCCAGTAATTTTTTTCTATATATTTTTAGTTGTCTGATTAATTTCTTTCTACTTTTAGTAGAGACGGGGTCTTGCTCTTGCTCAGGCTGGTTTCGAATTCCTGAGCTCAAGCAATCCGCCCGCCTTGGCCTCCCAGAGTGTTAGGATTACAGGCGTGAGCCACTGCGCCCGGCCTTATTGAGTTCTTAATATGCAGCAAATACCTTACTAAGCCCATTATTACATTAGTTATCTCATTTAATCTTTATAGCACCTTTATGAAGTAATGATTTTTAATCCCATTTTGTAGATGAAGAAATTTACCAGTCTAAGGCTACACAATTTCAGACTATGTCTCTGATTTCAGGACTTTACCCAGCATATCAGTTAGAGTGCTTTTGCCTATAAATAAAAGGCAGTCTGATTAAAAATATCTTTTTTATTTTTCCTGAGACAGAGTCTCTGTCACCTGGGCTAGAGTGCAGTGGTGTTATTATAGCTCACTGCAACCTCAAACTCCTGGGCTCAAGCAATCCTCCAGCCTCAGCCTCCTGAGTAGCTGGGACTATGGGCACAGGCCACCATGCCCGGCTAATTTTTCTATTTTTTTGTAGAGACGGGGTCTCAGTCTTGCTCAGGCTGGTCTCGAACTCCTGGCCTCAAGCAATCCTCCCACCTCAGCTTCCCAAAGTGCTGGAATTACAGGTGCCTGGCCTGATTAAAAATATCTTAAACAACAGGTCTAATTTTTTACATAACAAGAAATCAGAAGGTTGGTTTCAGGATCGATCATTCAATGAGTTAACAGGTTAGGGCTGTTGTTGATTTCTCTGAAGTTCTCTTAGCTTTCACCTCATAGTTGCAAGATGGCTGCCTTATAAGACAGTATCTAAAGACATAAAGGAAGGGGTATTCCCTTTCATGAATTTCTCTTTTTGTTTTGTTAAAAAAAACATTCTTGAGAAGCTCCCCAGCAGACTTCCCCTCTTGCTCCATTGACTAGAAGTGGGTTACTTGTCTACCAGCAAACCAGTAACTAGAAAATGGGAATGGGATTGCCAGGGTGGGTTTTAACCTTCCCGGTACCAGCCCATGGCCTGTTAGGAAAATAGGTCCTGAGCTCCACCTCCCCCCAACGCCCATCCGTGGGAAACTGTCTTCTGTGAACCTGGTCCCTGGTGCCAAAAAGGTTGGGGACCACTGGTTTAGACCGCTAGTGGTTCAGCCTTTGGGCTGGGTCTGCCTTCTCTGAGCACTTTGCTGCCTGCCTGACACCTGAGCCAAATCAGGGATGTCTTGGTAAGAAAAATGGGGGAAATCACTGTTGGTTAAATAACCAGCTCTTTTATGTTTATAGTAACCAATTTTTTAGATGAATTAACTAAATTCACTTCAGATGATGTATCTGAAGTCATAGAGTTAGCAAATGTGTGTGGTTGAGAATTTCCAATTCCAAATTAGGTTTTCTAATTCCAGTTCCTGGTACTTTTTAAAGGACTTACTAATGTACTGAAGTGGGTTCTTACTTGTTTGTTTCAGGTGCTTGAAGTTTCTGGGAAGTCGGCATCCAACCCTGGTGCTTCCCTTGGTGCCAGAGCTTCTGAGCACCCACCCATTTTTTGACACAGCTGAACCGGACATGGACGATCCAGCTTGTATCCTCTGTTCTTTGTACAGGCCCTGTTATGTTGGCAGGGAACTTTGGCATCTCTTTCTGCGTGTACCTAGAGTGGTCTGAGTTTTATTTTTTTCATATTCGTTAAGTAAAAGAGTATGTCTTCAGGGAGTCTGATGGTTATTTTTTTCAGCTTTCATTCTTGTTTTTACAAGAATTTAATACTAATAATTATTTTTGACATTTATTTAACACTTACTATATTGTATATACTGTTTATAGTTGTCCCTCAGTATCTGTTGGGGATTGGTTCCAGGACCTCCTTCAGTACCGAAATCCACGGATGCTCAAGTCCCTGACATAAAATGGTGTATTAATTACATATAACCTATGCACATCTTCCCATATACTTTATTCATTTATTTATATTTTTTAGAAATAGAGTCTCATTTTATTGCCCAGGCTGGCTTGCAGTGGTGCAATTATAGCTCACTACATCCTTTAACTCCTGGGCTTAAGCGATTCTCCTGCCTCAGCCTCCCAAGTAGCTGGCACTACAGGTGTGTGCCACCATGCCCAGCTAATGTTTTTTCATTTCTTTAGAGATGGGATCTTGCTGTGTTGCTCAGGATGGTCTCCAACTCTTGGCCTCAAGTGATCCTCCCACCTCAGCCTTCTTGAGTTGCTGGGATTACAAGCCTGAGCTACCAATGCCTGGCTCCTCTTCTGTATACTTTAAATCATCTCTGGATTATGCATAATACCTAATACATTATAAATGTTACGTAAATGGTTGTTATACGGTATTGTTTAGGAAATAATGACAAGAAAAGAAAAACTGTGTATATTCAGTACAGATGCAACCATCCCTTCCCCCCTCCCCTTTTTTTTTGAATATTTTCCATCCACAGTTGGTTGAATCCATGGAAGCAGAACCCATGGATATGGGGAGCCAACTGCAAAAAAGGCATTATACATTTTATCACAGATCTTCTAAACAACTCTGGAAGAAGGTATAATTTCTACTTTACAGAAGATCAAGCTGAGTCTTGGAGTTTAAGTAACTCTCCAAGCAGCAGATCTGGGATTCAGAGCCAGGCATCTCTGGTTTTAAAGCCTGTGTTCTCTCCCTTATGTCTTACATAGTGTTTAATTTGATCTGAAGCCTGAGGGAGGTAATGGGCTGAGCTAGGCTGCATGAGTCTCTGCCTCTGATACAAGTTCAGTAGGTTCATGATAGCCTGTGCAGCATGCCATGCAATTGAATTGTTTTCCAGTAAGGCAACTACATTTACATCAGTGTATCCATGCTCTCCCAGGGTTCATTTGTTCCGTGGGCAGATCCTTGGTGAGGTTGAGGGGTATTTATTGAAACATAGGGATCAGCCAACTGGTTGTTATAGTAAGGTGACCCATTATATTTTCCCTTAATTCTCTTTTTTTTAAAAAAATTGAATTTAATTTTTTTAATTGGCACATAATAATATACATGTTTATTGAGTACATAGTGATGTTTTGATACACATGTATGTATCAAATGTTATGTATAGTATACAGATCAGGATAATTAGCATATCCATCATCTCAACCATTTATCATTTCTTTGTGTTGGGAACATTCAGTATCCTTTTTCTAGCTATTTGAAACTATGTATTTAATATTACTGTTGACTATAGTCATCCCGCAGTGCTGTAGAACACCAAAACTTATTCTTTCTATCTAGCTGTAATTTTGTACCCTTTAACAAATCTTTCCCTATTCCCTCTTTCCACTACCCTCTTTTAGTTCTGTTTTTTTACTTTCACAGTGCTTTCAGAATTTTTTTTTAAAGATCTGTGTAATTGATGTACTAAGAAATGCCTGACTTCGTGTTTACCTCTACGAAAGACACATCCCAGATCTTACCTCTAATGGTGTAGTATAACTATTTGAAATTCAACTTACCAAAGATGTGTTTGTACGCTAGGTCTTATTACTAATCTCAGAAGGCATATTGAAATTCTGTAAAATCTGAAGGTCCTTTCACATAAAAAAAACCCCACATTTTTGGAAGCCAATTTGTTAAGGTATTTTTCTGGGTAGTTGGAGGATTGTATTTATGAATTATGTTTGGCTGTGAGTAACAAAGATTGTGCCCAAATGTAACTTAAACAAATTAAGATGTTTATTTTTCTCTGATATTAGAGAAGTCTAGAGGTAAGCAAGCCAGTGCTGGTATAGCAGCTCCACATCATTCTTGGTGATCCAAGCTCCTCTTGTTTTTCTGTTCTGCCATTTTTGGTTGTCCACGGTTGTTGCTAGAGCTCTAATCATCAGGTCTAGGTTGTAGGCAGGAAATTAGAGGCTATCTGGAATAAAATCAATATTCTATTAGTAACAAATAGAATATTTAGAGAAAGGAAGGGATAAAAACAGGGTAGGCAGGTATTAGGCTCTGCCGTAGGGAAACGTGGAAGATTGTTAGAAGACATATTTATCTTTTAATTTCTGGTATTCTATCTGTTATAAAATTAATATACATAGAAAATCCAAAGAGTAGAAAGAAGAAACTTTATATTTAACACCTAAAGTCTTACTAGCCAAAGTAATCTGTTAATATTTTGGTGGATTTCTTTCTCATTTTTAAAAAAGCTTGAGGTTGGAATTTTGCTACTGTTATTTTATTTTTTAACATAGTTTATTTCATCAACAAATATTTGATAATAGATAGCTGCTATCATATCCTCTATATGTTTTAGACCCTCTTCTTTTCACTTTATAATGAAAAATGCTTGTGATACAATATTAAATTCTTTTTTTGAAATTTATTTATTTTAAAATATGGAATACTTCACAAATTTGTATGTCATCCTCATGCAGCAATATTAAATTCTTTATAAATATTTTTAATGATTGTGTGATGCATTCTATCAAGTAGGTGAAACATAGTTGTTAAATCAATTTCTTCTTTTTGGACATTTAGGTTATTTCTTATTGCAGTAGTCTACCGTTATCTGTGATTTTGCTTTCCACAGTTTCAGTTACTTGAGGTCAACCGTGGCCTGAAAATACTAAATGGAATATTCTAGAAATAATTCATAAGTTTGCATGCTATTCTAAGAAGTGTGATAAAATCACGCTTCATCCCTCTCCATCCCACTTAGATGTGAATCATCCCCTTGTCCAGCGCATTCACACTGTACATACTCCCTGCCCATTAGTCACTTAGTAACCGTCTGGGTTATCACATTGATCGTTGAGGTATCACAGTGCTTGTGTTCAAGGAACCCTTATTTTAGTTTATAAATGGCCTCAGGCGCAAGAGTGATGGTGATGCTGGCAGTTTGGATCTACCAAAGAGAAGCTGTAAATGCTTCCTTTGAGTGAAAAGGTGAAAGTTTTCAATAAGGAAAGATAAAAAAATCATATGCTGAGATTGCTAGGATCTATAGTAAGAACAAATCTATCTGTAAAATTGTGAAGAAGGAACAAGAAATTCGTGCTAGTTTTTGCTGTTGCACCTCAAGCTGTAAAACTTAAAGCCACAGTGCTCTATAAGTGCCTTTAGTTAAGGTGGAAAAGGCATTAAATAAGTGGATGGAAGACCTGAACAGAAACGAGTTCTGACTGATGGCATTCGGGTTTGGAATTATCTATGGTTTCAGAAATCCGCTTGAGATCTTGGAACATATCCCCTGAGGATAAGGAGGAACTACTGTTTTTGCTTCTATAAATGATTCTGTGATATTAAGTTATTTACTTAGAATAGATTTTGAGATGTGGAATTACTCAATAGTCACAGGATTCTTACTGCCTGGTACCAAATTATTATCCAAAGGGATTGTGCCAGTATGTACTTTAATAGGCAATGTACCAAGAGTTTCTATTTGTTGGTATTCTCAGTAACATCCGACATTATTTTTAAAAACTTTTGGTAACTGGGGGTGTGGGTGAAGTAGGGGAATGTATCTGTTGTTTGAATTTGCATTTCTTTGATTATTAGAAAACCATTGCTTTTCTCTGGGTTCTTAAGAAAAAAAAAAGAAAAAAAATGAAAGTCATAGTCCCTTGTTCAGAATTTTGGGGGTGGGAAGAGAGGGCACCAGATTCTGGCCAAGCTCAACCTTTTATGCTTCCAAGTTAACTTAACCCACTGACCTATCAGATATTGCAGTTTTGGTTCTTATTTTCAATGCTGCTAAAACCTGTCCAACAATGCCAGCATTGTTCTCAGATCACACCTTCAGGCACTATGCCTACCTCAGAGACAGTCTCTCTCATCTTGTTCCTGCCTTGAGGGTATGTTGAAAACATTTCTTGTCCTTGCTTTTGGGGTTTTTTTTGTTTTGTTTTGTTTTTGTTTTTGTTTTGAGACAGAGTCTTACTCTGTTGCCCCTGGCTAGAGTGCAGTGGCATCGTCATAGCTCACTGGCAACCTCAAACTCCTGGGCTCTAGCAATCCTCCTGCCTCAGCCTCCTGAGTAGGTAGGACTACAGGCACATGCCACCATGCCCAGCTAATTTTTTCTGTTTTGTTTTTTTTTTTCAGAGGTGAGGTCTCTCTCTCTTGCTCAGGCTGGTCTCAAACTCCTGAGCTCAAGCAATCCTCTTAACTTGGTCTCCCGAAGTGCTAGGATTACAGGCGTGAGCCGTTGCTCCCAGCCTGGTTTTTTGATTTTTGGTAATTTTCGGTTATTAAATAGCAGAAAGTAGGCTATATATATATTCTTTGGAAGCTCAGTCATTCATTCTCTTTCTCTTTTAGGCTCTCTCCCTTTGTTTTGTACTTTTAGAAGGTTCATTTTAGTGTCCCTGGGTTATTGATTATGTAGTATATGGCAAGAAAAAGGAATCTGTAACAACAGATAATATTTTAGACCAGAGAATCAATTGTTATATATTAACAATTACATAAAGCCATGATTCTCAATGTGTTTATTTTTTAATAAACTCTTTATTATTTTTAAAACCTAGAGATATATTGAAAGAAGAAATTTTTTAAATGGAGCATAGTAATAATAGCAAACACTTAGTGAATGCTTTGTACCTAGCACTCTTCTGAGCTCTCTATTTGTATTAACTCATCCCAATTATTCAACTACTCATCAATTGAGTAACTCCAAATGATTTTATTTAGAATAATATATATGGTTAGAAAATTTAAACTTTAGAGAAGATAAAAAGTGAAAAATGAAATCCTCTTTGCTATCCCCTCTCCATCCCTTTCTTAAAAGATAACCACCTTTAACATTAAGAAAAGACTTATAATTATCCTCATATAAAACATTTTTATAGCATGCTACATAAACTTATTTGGGAATAAATCATCACTCTTCCATCAAGGGAAAGATAAAGTTTAAAAATAAATGTAACATAGCTTAAGTTTTAGTCCCATTCCTATGGTTAGCCCATTTATTTCAGTTGGCAACAGAAAATAATATTATGCCATTCTCTTTTATTTTTCTCCTGTCATTGGGGCTGTATTGGGATAGACCATGTCTGCATTTTCTCTTTCTTTCTCTCTCTCCCTCTATAGCTGGGGAAGGGGAGAAAGGTTATTTACAGAACCTCTCCTAACCTTTTTTCCTGTTTTGTTTGACTCACGTTTTTCTGTTTTTTTGTGTGTGTGTGTTACCAAAAGCTGAACCACAGAACTTGATGATACTATAATCCCATTGTGTTTGCTTAGTTACCAGGCAGAAAACTGGTGTCATCAGCCGTTTCTCCCAACATCACACCTCAGGAGGATCCTTCCCAGCAGTTCCTACAGCAGAGCCTTGAAAGAGTGTATAGTCTCCAGCACCTGGACCCTCAGGGAGCCCAGGAGCTGCTAGAATTCACCATCAGGTAAGGTGATCATCCATTTCCTCTGACAGAGTTACTTTTGTTGTTTTGCTCAGCTTGACTGGTGAATTCTGGTATTGGTTATTAGGCTTGATTTTTTGACTCTGTTGGCTTACACTCACACATGGTTTTATGTTCTGTTTATATTTGGATTAGATTGTGGTTTGAGCATATTCTTTAAAAAAGCTCTTTGCATTCATGACTCGATTGATGATTAGTACACAATAGAAATAGTTACAAAGAAGCTATTTTTAGTTTTTCTTTCTTGTATAATATATTAGTTAAGATGGGTGACAGAAATGCAGGGTAACAGCAGCTTAAATAGGAGGAAAGTTTAATTTGTCTCTCATAGGCAGGATGGGCTGAGATGAACATCAGGGGTATAGGCTCATTCTTTCTTGAGTCTCCATCTACATCAAGTGGCTTCATATCCTCATATGAAACAATTCAAAATCTAACTATCCCCTCTGTATTCCAGCCTGTGGGAGAGAGGAAAGGGTAAGAGAAAGGCATCATTTCTACCATGCACCCTTTTAAGACACTTCCCAAAAGTTGTACACTCTAATTTTATTTGGATACCATTTACTAGAGCTTAAGTCACATGGCCGTATCTATTATACTATCTAAGTTTGTGTAGGGAGACTCTGATGTTTCCACAACAAAATCACCTTACGACACATCTCAAAATGTATCCCTATTGTTAAGTGACACATGACATGGTTGTTTGGTCTTAGTCAAGTTTATCACTCAGCATTCATTTGTAGAAAACAAAATATGCTTTTAACCAAGCAGAAAGAAATTTACTACAGGATGTTATATGGCTCATAGAACTGTTGGGAACGCTAAAGAAACAGATAATGTTGAATATCCAGGAATGATTTCAAGACCCACACAATGAATGGGCCACCAAGGGGGCTGCTGTTCCTGTCACGATCAGGAAACTCCCTGTTGAGTCAGGATAACACCGATAAAGCTACTGGCTCCAGAACCATGTCTTGAACTCTGCCTCTTTCCCCACTTCATTCCCTATGTACAACTCAAAAGAGTGTGTTTTACTGACAGATCCTGACTAACTTCTGGAACCTAGCTCAAGGAAATCTGAGAAATGCAATTTTTAATTGCTGCCATGCAGTCTAGGAAGATACATTAGATGAAGTTGGGAATACTGTGTGTGGGTGAGCCACATCCACAGTATGTATCATAAGTACCAAACTGCTCTGGGCTCCACTTTACCTATCTGGAGAACTTGGTGACTAGCTGGGTATAGGGCTAGGAGTGAGGAACTGGGAGAGAGTTAAATGGGTGTTCTGGTAATCTAGAACGCTTACAAAAAAATTTGAGGGTGTCCTGGGCTCCCCTGGGGATACCAAAGGCCAGGGCTGGATGGGCTATGGGGAGAATGCTAGGCACATGGTTGTGGTCACAGAGAGTGCAAGCATGAAGCATGTGGCCGGCGCGGGCCTCCTGCGTATCCACCTGGGGCACGTAGTGTGCTGTATCCCAGCGAAGCCTCCAGAAGCCACATAGAGGCTCATAGCAGCTCTTGCTCTGGGGTTCTCCTCAGCTACTCCAGTGGTAGGGGCCCCCAGAAGGTCTCTGCGCCCCAAGCAGGGAAGATTCACGAGATCCCTGGCAAGTACAGGCCTTCGCAATTCTGCTGTGGACTGGGTGTTTCAAATCAATGGAGGCGGTCATGCCAGAAATGAGAGATGCTGCAAAAAACAAAGCTTGAGTGAAAGCTTGTTACATAATGATTGGACTCACACATATTGCCTGTTTTGCAGTGGTAGCATCAGCCAAAAGGGATGCAGAATGACATGAATACTTAACAAGTTGGAACATGGCAAAGAAAGCTATGTGGTGTGAAGAAGTTGCATTGGCCGCACAGGCTCAGGCTAAATGATATTCTAAGTGGCAGAGTGCTCACCTGAATACCATCTCTGTAATCACCAAAAATAAAAGACGGGAAAGAGAATATTTTTTAAAAGTTGAAATGATTTTAGCATGACGGTTTGTTCTCGTGCTGCTATACATTGAGTCATACACTTGATGTTTATTGAGTGCTAGCAATGTGCCAGGAACAATGCTTTAAACTAGGGGTTTAAACTACAGCCTGTGGACCAAATCTGGCCTGTTGCCTGCTTTTGTAATAAAATTTAACTGAAACACAGCCATACTCATTCATGTAGGTATTGTCCATGGTTGCTTTTATGCTACAATAGCAGAGTCAAGTAGTTGCCACAGAGCTGATGTGGCATGTAAAACCTAAAATATTTACTACCTGACCTTTTATAGAAAAAGTTTACTGACCCTACTGTAAGCTCTGGGCAGTCCACAGCTCTGTAAGCCAAGGTTCCAGTCCTTTCTACACCTCTTGTGATGTCTCAATCACATTTCTTACTCTTCTTTCTCACCACAGTGCTTACCTTGGGAGGTCACTAAATGAGATTGTTGACCCAGAGCCCAGTAAAATAAGCTCTGCTTCTGGACTCATCCCCGTCTAAATAAACATTTAGGTTTTGTCCTTGACAACTGTATTGTGTTGGCACTATAGCAAGTGCAAAATGCACAATAGTGAGCCAATCTGGCCATTAGCTGCAGTGCTGGCTGTTAGAAGGTACCCAGTAGACACCTGGTGGTTTTAGTTGACTTCATGATCTGGGTTTCAGAGGTGATAGTGCCACTGAACTTTGGGCTGGCCAGATCACTCTTCTAGTGCTGTGGTCAGTCCTAGGTTCCATGTTTCTAGCTTGAGTACATTTTTAGGAGGATAGTCAGGATGGTGAAAGATCTGGAAAGGAAAGCAGATGGAACAGTAGCTACTGAGGGCATACTATGCTTTTGAAACATTTTTGCAGACATGTAGCAATTTGGTAGGAAGTGGCAGTACTGGAATTTGAATCTAGCTGTTTCTGACTCTAAAATTGATGCTCTGTGATATGTAGCAGTGAAGATTTCTGTATCAAGTGAGATTAGATCAGATGATCCTTGGTTTTCTTTACAACTTATAATTTCTGTAGTTAATGTAAAGTGAATTAAATGTTAATAGAGGTTTCACACAAAAGGTTCTATGATTAGGACCAGGGGCACGTATTTGTTGGTATTTGTGTAAAACAAACAAACTTCACTGTCAAACACTTTGCCCTTTATTGTACTCCAAGCAGCCGTTTAACCAAACCAAGATCTTGCCTATGGAAAGTCTGCTGAAATTCACTCAGGGTGCTGGGAGATGATATTTGTTTGTTTCTGGGACTTGACATAACTACTTTGCCTTACCACTCAGGGAATATTTTTTGAAAACTGTAGTTATGATGGCCTAACCAGGAATGAAGACTTTTAAAATTTTTATAGATGGCATTTTCTTCTGGCCACACTTCACCTCCAGATGTGTAGATCTGATGTTTTATAAAGCTCTGTCCTCCTTGATTATAAGAAGAGCTGTTATCTATCAAATGCCTACTGTGTACTCACTCTTCTAAGTGCTTTACATACGTTATTTAATTGAATTTGAAAGCAATCCCATGAGAATTACCCTGCTTTTGCAATGGGTGAGATAACACACCTGGTGAATGATCTGGGGTTCATACATTTACTGTATGTTTTTGAGTATCCATCATATGCCAGGTAGTATACTAGGCAGAAGAGTCTCAGTAGTAAACAAGATATAGTCTCTGCTGTGATGGATATTAAAGCCTGATGGGGGAGATGGCTAGGCAAATAGGAAATGTAGAATCATGCCTTCCTTGCTACAATAGAGTAAGTGCAGGGTTCTCTAGGAAAATGAAGGGGCCCCTAAACCTTCCTTAAATGATCTAAGCCTGGGGTGGGGAACCTGCAGCCTTAAGGCCATATGTGGCCTTGTAGATCCTTAAGTGCAGCCCTTTGACTGAATCCAAATTTTACAGAACAAATCCTTTTATTAATACATTTTTGTTTGTCTTTTATATTTTTATTTTTATTTTATTTATTTTTTTTTTGAGACAG